TCTGATCAAGAAAAAGATGGCTGAACCTAGGAGTTTGGGAGATGGGGAACTGTTGCTAATTACTATCTACTACTTTTCAAAACAACGTGCATCAGGGAAATCATCTTCCAAAAGTGCACAATAAAATCATTCATTCTTTGAGCTCGTCTACTTTGCATTACGTCGATCATGGTCCTCGTAACCGATTCGTCGTGAGCCAGGGTGAAACCAACTGCCAACTCTAGTCATCCTTTTGATTGTTATGCAACAATTTCAGATGTATACAAAACTGTTCATCCTTCTAATAATCGCAGGGTCGGTTGTTGCTTTTGCAACAGTGGAAGTAGTGCATCTTTGTTTTTGAATAGAAATACTACTCTTTGTAAGTTTCCAGAGAAATTTCCTGATAAAGGTTAAGAAAGATTTGAAAGGTGCTGTGACAAAGTGATGAAATGGGAAGATTGGATATTAGAGCAAGAAGTTGGCAGAGGCAGTTTATTCCTTCAGCTCTACTACTCAAACTTCAATGTTCCAGATTCACGCTGCCTTGCCTCCTCTGAATCCATCTCGAAACCGCTCAGCTTTCCACTACACTGTGAAACGATCTTTACAGCGTTCCTACATGGTCACTAGATCCCTGCAGATTTGGGAGACCAGCTTCGTACTCCTCTTTGGAACCTTTCTTCTCAGTTCGAGGCAGCTCAACCACTGTGCTCTCTGCTCCGCACTTACTTTTGTTTTTTTTCTGAAAATGTATGGCTACATCTGATAGAGGGATTCTGCAAGATTTCTTGCCCCTCATTACCTTTAAGGGCCTTTACGGTTCTGAGAGACGATCTCCTCACGAGCACCTGCTTTCGACTCTCTTCTTCCGAGGACAAGCTACTAGAGACTTGTTGTTTGTGAGCAGGTCAGGAGCCTTTTCTCCTTCTTTGTTTCCAGTATCCTGTATCCTTGTGAACCCTAGGTTTCTAGGCCAGTCCTTCTACTTTCAGCCATTCAGATCGCTCTCTGTGGTGAGATTATCTTTACCAGGAAAAGACTTGATGGCGTCGTCAAGGCATGGAGAGAATGAATACTTTTCGCACTTGGCGTAACCGGCTTGCTGTGGGTACAGTGGTATTATTGTCTAGTAACTCAAAGAGGCAACTACTTTGGCCCGCCCGGGAACGACCACGGTCGGTTGCGTTGCCCAGGTTGACTGTGCACCTTGTTCTATACATGTTGCTCACTATTCAGTGATTGGTGCATTCATGCTCCATTCATATCGTGGGTACATGGCTGCCTCTTGCCGTTTTCATGTTGTTTCGTCTTTGCTTTTTGGCTTGACAGATATTTCTCTTTTTTCTTCTCTCTTTGTCTGCTTCAGCTAGTCAAGGGAATGTTGCACTGCCTTCTTAGATTGTTGCATGCTGTAGCTGATGCTTGTGAAATCTTGTGTTTCTTTTCTTTATTTTTGCTTCGCTGTGATTGAGCCTACTAGTGCATCTGTCTGAGTGCTTTGGTGCACCATGAGTGCAGTATATAAATAAATAAATAAATAAAATCGTTCTCGTGCAACCCCTCACAGCCTTGACTACCACTGACCCTGCTGATGGCTGTGACAAACTCCTAAGTCTGTCTCTGATGTTAGTACGGTGGTGAGGTGGCACGTTATTTGAGTTGATAAGCTGGAGAATAAGGAAAAATAAATTCAGGAAATTCGTAGTTTATATCTCCAGAATTGTCATATCGAATGCCACAAATTACTGACTAGTATTGTCATCACTTTTATTTGGTAGATCGGACTGCTTTTACATTGCTTTGTAAGCCCCTATAATAATTTCGGAGTTACTATGGTTTCCATAAACTTTTAGCGCAGCATATATTTAAGGTTAATCGGCATCTAGAGCTCGATAGAGCATTCAGAAATATCTGCTCCGTTTAGCGCGAAGCGCGAACATCGTCTTCATTAAGTTAAGTTAGGTTAAGTTTTCTATGCCAGTCTTTACTTAAGCGATGTCGAATTCGGCCAGCATTCGTTCTGCCTGCTCACTCTTCAGTGTAATATGCATGATTCCGTCTGCGAAGCGAAGATGAGTAGCGGCCGTCGGCCTTCACTACAATTGTTTCTATTCCATATAAAGCATGATGTTCACGAGAGTAGAGTTGTGCGAGAAAAGAGTTTGTGCGAGATCGTGTCATCCAGTCGAACCCCTCTCTTCACGCTGAGAATGGATCTCTCAGTAAAACGGCAAAATCCTTTCCGTAGAATGGTTGCAGAGCTCTCAAAGCATATTGAACAGTAGCATCATAGTAACGAAATGCTTTGATCACCGCTTCTTTCCCGACGGTATAAAGAGCATTTTCCAAATCGATGAACATAAGATACGACGGCATCCTGTACTATCGCGATACATCATTGAGTCTTGTGCTAATAATGACATATTTAGCTATTTGTTCATTTATTTATTACAAAAAGGATCACAGGTAACATCAGAACGGTCGCCCGATGATATCGGTTATTTGTTTTGAGGGCTGTTTGAGTAATTCTTGAAGGATCATGTTTTCAAAATTTGGTCCTTAAATACGAAATTTCAAGTTATGGTCGGTCCAATGAAACAAATTAGCTTCCCTCAACCTTTGGACTGAAATTCTGAGTAGTTAGTTCTAATGCAAGCCTATTCCGAAAGCGATTACCTAGGCTTCAGAATCTTCGACCTTAAAGTTGGCCCGCTTTCCCATGAAGGGTGATATTTAGGCGGTGTACCTCAAAAAGGAGTCCTACAATCAACTATTTTTCACTATCCACTATGAAGCTTCGGGATCTGTACCATGAAAGACCCTGACCAAAGGCGTCTTTGGATGAATGAACATGACTTATACTATGCCAATCTTAGGGTTTGGATGACTGTCGGAACTGCATAAGGTCGGGGACTTAACGGTCAAGTGTTCTGAGAGTGGGACTTCTCAATGGCTCCCCACGGGAGGTGTATATGAAAAAATACATTTGCAACTCCGTTTCATCCTCGTATAAAACTGAGTGGTACTGATAAATGGCGCAGTACCCCACGCACAATCTCTGGATCGAATCCCGGCTTGATACACGCCCATGCCAACCAGGCATTCTACGCCTCCTTTGTCAGTTAACTAGTTCCAGACAGGTCTGGGAGGAGGAGAGAAATAAAAGCACTTATTTAACATCGGTCAGCAAAATCATTGCATAGGCTGCATTCAAACGCTGTCATAAGTGGATGTTACATGCAGGGCTCATCCATAAAACGGAACTCGGATATAACTCAACTATGTGATGTAACTGCCTCTTGGAGAGGCCCAATTTCATCCACGCTTCAGAAAAGGCTTGAGGCCAATTCAGTCGCACCCTTCTTCTACGGCTGGTCCGAAATAGCGCATACTACTATCAGCTGTGGACATCTGATGTTCCTTCGTTACAGTCGAGACGGATAAGTTTCGATTTTTTTTTTGATTAATTCATAGCATTGAACAGAACTCGTGAAGGGGATGGCCTTTCTCCTTTTCATATTCACCTTACCTAAAGCAGAGGACGGTTTATGATATTACTGGCGCAACCCAGAACTAACGTGCAAAGAAAAAAACCTCCCTTTTCAGAAAGAATTACCATCAATTGGAGCTTTATGAGAACCTGTCAGCCACCCTATCGCTAAAATTAGTTCAAACATCGTGTCATCCAGATCCTACTGGGCTAAAAAAAATCCACTTCTTCAAGACCTTGGCCACCAGACGTTGTCATTGTTGTATTTTACTGCCTAGGTGAGGATGCCTATTTACTTATTTCTAGGCCTATGTATTCCATAATGGTTCAACTGATCAATCAAAACCCTTTCTAGTTTGTGCTTTATGCAAACCTAATGAAATCCTAACTCAAGAAATGTGAATTCTAATCGTCCCGAATTACTCTACAGTACTAGCCGTAAGGAGGTATGGGTACATTGGGGGCTCCGGAGATGCACGTGACGGAATTCGATTAGAACGACTCTGGCACCTAGCATTGGGGCACAAGTTTGAAGTAGATCAGTAGGGTCAGCTGATACTACTAATCTACTCTACTTGAAGTTTATGCACCATAATAGGCGCTAAATAAAGCGTCAGTTCGCCACGCATTTCGCCGCGAAATCGGCGGCGTGTCTTTCCGGCTGCACCAAAGTTCCGTCTGCGGCCTTAAAGGGTGGAGGTGGTGTAGTGGCAACTGGTGCACTATCACAAACGCATGGTCGCGGGTTCGAATCATGAGTCGATATCCGCTTAGGCCAATTAAAACTTCCATTCCTTCGAGATCGGTTAATTAGCACTGTCTGGGAGGTTAAAAGCACTGCCTTGAACATTAGCTTGCCACCGCAAGCACTGCACAGGCCACATGCGCATTCAATACTCCACCATGATCTTGGATGGAAGTCGAATGCGAGGGCGCATCCCTAACACGGGACTGATGAATGTCCGAGGGCTTGTCCTCGATGCAAATGAAGCAGAGCTGAGAGAATGTGGTGCCTGATGAAAAGCCCCAGAAACCACACCTACTCAATGATCTAACACCTATTTAGTAATTATTTTATGATTAGCTACGACGTTTTATAGCTCGACGACACTCCAGCAACGACTCTTGGTTAGTTTTGGCTTCCCAAATACCAGCTCCCTTCCTGTTCTTGCATCGCATCTAAAAATATAGGCGACTCTTTGACGTGTGTAGCCTGCGCGGCTCTCGGCGACCGTTTGTCCAGACGCCGTGAAAGGGCACTTTTAAAACTGAATAAGGTGAAATTTTTTTAATACCATATCATTTGCATGCAAGCTTAGAAATTATTATGTAGTAGATCAACAACGAGAATAGTTTTATTTGTTCGGTGTCATGAATGAGTGCGGATCACTGGGTGTATGATTGGATTGATGGCAGCTGTTTTTTCATCCTCGACACTCGCTGTCACTATCCGCACCACGTTTCGTTCGTTGCTCCGCTCGCTGAAAATAGATGATTAACGGTGGAAAAACAGCTGCCATCAGTCTAATCAGTGATTGAAGTGATTCGCAATCGGTTGATTGTTTTTCGAATCACTTAAATAATTTTGTAGTTTGCCAGTTCTTACCGTGTACAACTTCGCCTTTGCAAGCTTCGCCCACCCCCCACCAGGCCTGGACAGCTGTGGACGGGCGGTGATCTGTAGTTCCTTCGTGGAACGCCAGCTGTAATTTTTGATGCCCTTTCGATGAGCTCATGGATTTCATTCAGTTTAACCATGGCATCTTTCGTGTCAGTGTTAACAAGGGCACTGACGTTGGCAGAGAGCACGGAACACAACTGAAAAACTGTTTTACAACTGTGTAATCTACCAATTGAACGACATACCATTTGGATTTTGCTCCTCCATGCTTTTCTCAACTCCATTTGCACCTGGGTATGCACCATTGGGTCTGCAGCAGCTAGTTGAACTTTGCATACAACTTCTTTCTTTGCCGTTTTTGAGTGAGCCTCTTCGACGTTGCTTGAAGGTCCTGGTTCACAACCATATTGGCCGTTACTCTCAGCCAGATGAGCTTTTTCTGAAGTTTCCCCTTCCTCAAGCTTCCTCCTTGCTATGCTTCTGATCTTTAGTCTCTTCCCTTCATGATGAGTCACGGCAGATCCGTGGCATGTCAATGTCTGTTGAGTCCTAAAAGATGCCGTAGCCAGCCGTCGGCGTTTCCCACCCGAAGTGAACCTTTTTCCGCTCGGATCTTCTGCCTTATCTAGCATTTGTTTCCCATCATCGAAATTATTTTCGTCTACTTGCATTTGTGGCGAAGTCAAATCATTGTTGTTGCGAAGTCCGGGTCCCATTCCATATTTTTGCATTATGTTTCGAAGATCTGACTTGGTTACAAAGTGAAGCCGTGACGTTTTTGGTGAGAAGTCGCTTCTCATTCTGCGTATGACATATTCCAAAGAGTGACCTAAATTTTTGCTATGCAGCATATCATGTTCATCTGTTCCTGTATGAGTCTAAATTACCTTCTAATAAGTGCCTCAAATGTTGCTTCTGCTCTTCCGTCAAGGGCAGAAGAGCAGGCTCGATGTCGTGCCCTATATGCCCGAAACATCCTTTCATCTGTATAGTGCCGTCATCATTCACAGTGTAATTGGTGAAGCAGGAACAATGTGAAACGCCCTTCCTGCTCATCCTTGCACATACTGTACTTGCACTTCGAAACAGTCCCGATCTGTTACATCTGCAACTATGGCATAAGAAGGCAGAGCTCTTTAACAATAAGGTTCCACTTTACCTCAGGCTATAGGACTTTCCTTTATGAGCTCGCTGATAGAGCGAACTTATTGTCTTTTCACACTGCTCGCGTAGGAAAATCTAAGGAAATTATTAGATTTAGGACGGTACTGGATCCAATGTGAAAAACTCGAACCTCAAATTCATCCTTGGTCTGGAATGTCAGAGAGTAAACGGTATAGTTTTGTTCTACACCATTCGCACCCTCATCACTATGCTTTTCGTTGCAGTGGTTGGCGAGACTTTCATGGTCGACAAATCTATCGCCGCAGACAGGGCAGTACACTGTCAGCTTATTGGCACGCGACTGAGTGTTCTTCCTATACTCTTCCTTCATTCTATTTATTTCATCTTGGGTGTAATTGTGCACGTCGATCATATGCCTATAGAAGTTTCTCCGAAGCACCGTTTTGTCGCAAATATCGCAAGAGGCCTGCTCCTTGCTTTTTGGCGTCATCTTCCACAACACTGCAAACTGATCAAAGCAAAAACATAAGCAATAAAACCTTTTTACATATTCATACATGTATTTAAACTAGCCGGACGGCACTCTTTAGGTAGACCTGTTCGATTGGATGAGAATAATTTAGCCCGAGCCTCTCACCACGTGGGCTATAGAACAGACATATAAAGCTGGCAGTGCAATGATAAATTCAGGAGAATAAAAGAGATTCCGTATCGATGCGCGACAAGCTACCGTATGAATTTTGCAGAGTGATATTAAATGTAGGAGAATAAAAGAGATTGTGGATCAGCTCGATGACCCCCGTAAGCAGATACATAAAAATGTGCAAAAACTGCCGTAGGATTTGTAAAATATGTACCACTGGTTGGACATTCTATAAAAGTCGTTCAAATAAGGCAATGAGATAAAGGGAAGGGTGCTAAGGGAGTTGGGGGGGGGGCACTCGGCGGCGCGGCGCCTTTTCATGTCTGCGCCCTCCCCGGCGAGATAGTAGACAAGGAAGGGTAGGCGACCCCGTAATGGTATTTAGGGACGTTTCATAGCTCTTTTATGTTATAACTGCGTATTTCTCACCTAATTTCAATAAGGGGAGGGGCTCCGGGGTGGGTGAGCCAATTGGA